ATCTTGCTCTTTCACCCAAACTTGGAGTATGGTGGCATGATCATGGCTCACTGCAACCTCTGCCTCCCAGGCTCGAGCCTTCCTCCCACCTCAACCTCCCGAGTAGCTGGGATTACAAGCACAAGCCACCATGCCTGGCTAATTAGGTATTTTTAGTAGACATGGGGTTTCGCCATGTTGGCCAAGCTGGTCTGGAACTACTGGCCTCAAACAATCCACCCACCTCAGCCTCACAAAGTGCTGGGATTACAGGCGTGAGCCACTGCACCCGGCCCACAGCCAGTTCTTTCCAGTAGTAATTTGTAGCATTGGCCAATTTCCCTGGTGTACATACTCCCACCATGGCTGCTTTCAAACTATCAACATGATGGCACTGAACAAAGAGTTGGGGAGAGATGTGCCCAGCTGGCTCGGATGCAGTGTGTGAGCCAGCTCGAGCACACCACCGGCCCAGTGGATAGATTCTTACTGAGCCATTCTCCAGTAAGAAGCTTCCCAACCCTGCTCTCCCAACTCATTGCCAGAGCCACGTCTAACAAAACACAAATACTGCTGATATAAGAAGCTTTCCTTAATACCCCCAGCCAGAATTTTGTCCTCCCCTGTGCTCCCCTAACATGGTCTTGGTACCTCTCCTATGGTATAGTGTGCCATGTATTTGTGCATTTCTTGTTTTCTTTGAGACAGAGTCTCACTCTGTCACCCACGGTGGAGTGCAGTACCGCGTTCTCAGCTCACTGCAACCTCCACCTCCCGGGTTCAGGAGATTCTCTTGCCTCAGCCTCCAGAGTAGCTGGGATTACAGGTGTATGCCAGGACGTGTGGCTAATTTTTGTATTTTTCATAGAGACAGCATTTTGCCATGTCAGCCAGGGTGGTCTTGAACTCCTGACCTCAGGTGATTCACCTACCTTGGCCTCCCAAAGTGCTGGGCTTACGGGCGTGAACCACCATGCTCGGCCGTATTTGTGCATTTCTTTCTTTCTTTTTTTTTTTTTGAGATGGAGTTTCGCTCTTGTTACCCAGGCTGGAGTGCAATGGCGCGATCTCCGCTCACCGCAACCTCCGCCTCCTGGGTTCAGGCAATTCTCCTGCCTCAGCCTCCTGAGTAGCTGGGATTACAGGCACGCGCCACCATGCCGAGCTAATTTTTTGTAGTTTTAGTAGAGACGGGGTTTCACCATGTTGACCAGGATGGTCTCGATCTCTTGACCTCGTGATCCACCCGCCTCGGCCTCCCAAAGTGCTGGGATTACAAGCGTGAGCCACCGCGCCCGGCCGTATTTGTGCATTTCTATCCTCCAAGCTAGGTAAGCTTCTTGAAGGCAAGGAGCCATGATTTTCTCTCTCTCTCTTTTTTTTAATTTTTGTGGAGAACAGGGTCTCACTATATTGCCCAGGTAGGTCTCAAACTCCTGGGTTCACGTTATCCTCCCACTTCTGCCTCCTGAAGTGCTGGGGTTACAGGCATGAGCCACTGTACCCAGCAAGCCATGATTTTTTCTCTTTTAATTTTTTAAAGTTTTTTGAGACAGTCTCACTTTTTCCCCCAGGCTGAGATGCAATGGCATGATCTCGGCTCACTGCAACCTCTGCCTCCCAGGTTGAAGCAATTCTCCTGCCTCAGCTTCCCAAGTAGCTGGGATTACAATTGTGTGCCACCACACCTGGCTAATTTTTTTGTATTTTCAGTGTAAATGGGATTCCACCATGTTGGCCAGGCTGGTTACAAACTCCTGACCTCAAGTTAGCCGCCTGCCTTGGTCTCCCAAAGTGCTAGAATTACAGGCGTGAGCAACTGTGCCCAGCCTCTTTATAAAAAACAAAAAAATCTGTGTTTAGCATGCTTCCCAGCAACAGCAAGTTCATACCAAATGACTGTTGAATCAAAACCTTGATCTTTTTTTTCTCCCTCAATCTTCCCTTTTTCCTTCCACCACAATATCATCTATTTTGCTTCTGCTGGGCACACAGCACCATTCTTCAGAGCACTTGGGACCCATGAAATAGGCAGCAGGGCTAGGTGTCATAAGACGTGTGCATTGTCTGTGCAAGAGTGGTATGCAGGGGAGAATATGCACCCACATCTTACTGATTTTGTGTGTTTCACATCTGCTTTTTTTTTTTTTCTCATTATCACTGCTGTCCTTCCAGCACAGGCCTTTGTCCCTTCACCCCTGGACTAGTGCCATGATCCCTCCTCAGTGCCCTAGCTCCACATTAGCGTTGCTCTCACCCATCTTGCACCCTGGTCCAAGTCAGCTTTTATTTGATCACCCCTCTGCTCAAAGACGTATCATATATTCTCACTGTTCTACCACATTGAATCTAAATTCCATGGACTGGCCTTTGAGGCTTTTAACCAACTTGTTCTGCCCACCCCCAATCTCTGCAATCTCTTTTCTCGTTATTCTCCTCTCCAGCCAAGCAACTATGCTTATCGACCTGCACATATGGCTTGCTTATTTCTGTGCTTGCTCCTTGCCTTTGAACACATCCCACTTCTCTCTGCTAATTCATGCCTATCACTTCAAGATCCAGCTTAAAACACCCTCTTGTGGGAAGCCAGATCTGGTTAACTCCTTCCTGTTCTTTTGTTCAGTGTTCCACATCACGCTTGTCTATAACATTTGCGGCATATTACTTTTTCTTTACTGATGTTTTGCTTTTGAAAAAATAACAAGTCTCATTCACTGAGCACTTATTGTGCGCCGGGCAGTGTGCTAAGACATTTTATGTACATTTTCTCATTTAATACTCACAACAGGCCAGATGCGGTGGCTGGCTCATGCCTGTAATCCCAGTAGTTTGGGAGGCAGATGCGGGAGGACTGTTTGAGCCCAGGAGTCCAAGTTCAGCCTGGGCAACATAGCGAGACCCCCATCTCTAAAATAAAAAAAAAAAAAAAATCCTGACAAACAACTTTTGAGATAGGCATTTCGTTTTGCAGTTGAGGGAACTGGGATTCAGAGAGGTTAAGGCACTTTCTCAAGGTCACACAGCTAGAAAGTAGTAGAGCTGGGATTTGAGCCTAATCCGATTCCAGAGCTCTATACATGTTCTGATGTTGTGCTTTTAAGGCAGGTCATGTGTCTTTGTGAATCTAGTCTCCCCAATGTCATCATCCTTCCACCACAGTATCATCTATTTTGAGTGTAGCCTCTCCAGGGCAGCATTCATTCCATAACTGTGGCTGGATCACTCCTAGAAATTAGCATAGTGCTCCTCACTCAGGCAGCGCCCACTGCTCCCTGTTCAACCTGTTTCCTCCCAGAGCTTTGGTCATATAGGTCTCAAGCCTGTGCATTCTCAAAGTGGTTGCATTACACAATCACCTAGGAAACTGAAAAAAATAAATAAATCCTGATGCCTGGGCTTCATCTATGACAAATAAAATCATAATCTCTGAGAGTAGGACTCAGGCATCTGCTTTTTTCTTAAAGCATTTAAGGAAACTCTACTGTGCAGTCAATGTTGAGAATCACTCAGAACACAGAAGACTCAGTTGGAAGGCTGTGTCTCTATTTTAAACCCCTTTTATTTCTCAGGAAGCCACATCTCTCCTGCCTGCCTTGTCTTCCCTCCCCGCTTCTCTGCCAGTCCATTTGGCTTTTTACCCAACAACATCTGAGGAGGGCAGCAACCATTGGTTGAGGAGGTAGCCACAAGCCAATTAAACATCGGCTCCAAGCCAGTTCTTAAACCAATGGGGATCCTGTGACTCACAGGTGGAAAAATTAACATATTAAAGCATTCTGGGTTTCACAAAGACAAAAATAAAGCAAATAATTTGCTCTTTTAGAAACAGCAAACACTCCACCTCTTAATCTGCTACCAACATCTCCCCCTGGGAAATCGTTTAAGAAAGGAAAGTTGCAACTCCTCTAAGAGCTTCCGCCAGCTGGCAGGCAGGCCTGCCCCCCGCCCACGCTGGTCACTGGTATTCAAACAGGAGAGCTGTGGAGGGGGCGGCTGACCAAGACTGCCAGACTTTGCACAGGCGACAGCTGCTTGCCAGTCTGAAGGAGCCGATCTATGGGAATGAATCTAAGGTTCTGGAAGGGCTGGACTCTGGGAGGTGAAATAAGGACAAGGTTCTGCATGTTCCCCGTCTTCCCAGGCCCTCTCTGTTCTGTTCGCATGCTCAGACACTCCCTCTTCAATGACTCAAGGTGCATGTGCCTACGGCAGGGCCCCCCAACTGGTGTGCACACGGAATGGGTAGAGATGCGCCAAGATATTCATTCCTACAGTTTCTGGGGCAGCCAGGCAGAATGTGGGGTGGACAGAATCTCTGGGGCTGCTCCATATACCCCAACGTTCTACATGAATATTCTTTTCTTTTTTCTTTTTCTTTCTTTTTTCTTTTTTTGAGACAGGGTCTCACTCTGTTGCCCAGGCTGGAGTGCAGTGGTACAATCACAGCTCACTGTAGCCTCGACCTCCCTGGCTCAGGTGATCCTCCCACCTCAGTCTTCTGAGTAGCTGGGACCACAGGTGTGTGCTGCCATGCCCAGCTAATTTTTGTATTTTTTGTAGAGACAGGGTTTCACTACGTTGCCTAGGTTGATCCCAAACTCCTAGACTCAAGTGATCTGCCCACCCTGGCTTCCCACAGTGCGGGATTATAGGCGTGAGCCACCACGCTGGCCTGTGAATATAATTTTACATGTGTGCTATGATATGAGAAAGAGGGGAAGCAGTGGCCTGGGGTTAGCCCCAAATTCTCCAGTTTCCCTGCCCTGTGCTGAAGAACTGTGTCGGGCTGATCTGACCCTCCCTAGCCTTCCCTAGTGCTGGCTGAACTTACTTGTGATCAAAACAGCATGTGCTAAAGGGCTGAGAAGGGACAGAAAGATTAGCCCAAAGAGGCCCAGGGTCGAACCACTTCAGAATCATTGAACCTCACGTAACAAACTCAAATTCTCTTTCTCAAGTTTACTTCTTCTATTCCCAAGGCCTGTTCCTGGACAGAAGGAGACCCTCAAAGCAGGGCTTACCTTGGCATCCATGATGCTGGTCTCCACCCGGGCCACGCCCTGGTTCTCCCGGAACAGCTGGATCTTGCTGATCTTGCTGAACTCGGACAGCACAGTGGTGAGGTTGGTTTTGAGGTCAATAACATGGCTGATGCCATGACGGGGTCCCACCAGGAGAGTGGTGGCCGACTGCTTCTCGTCCTGATGCCCAAGAATGGCAGGCAGTATTCACAGAAAGAAGGGTGGAGGAGTTGGGGAGACGAGGCAGGAGGAGGAAATAGAAAACATGCATTGGACTCTGCTGGTGGGATCTGAAAATATCTGGGGCTCAGTGCCAGACAGGACAGCCTTGAGGGGAAAATGGTCTGGGACAGAAAATGGTTCCTGGGACAGAGCCCCAGATTATGGGTCCAAATGGACACCTTAGCGTCAGCAGCAGGTCGAGTAAAGAGTGCAGCAGCAGGACTGGCTCTAGCAAAATAGTGAAGTTGGTGAGGTTTGTTCGGGGGGCCTTTGGGGCACCCTTCCCTACCAAGCCCCAGGGACTTTCCATTTGTTGCTGCAGGCCATTCGAGGCCCCCACCCAGTGCTCTGCCTGAGACGGTGGCATCCCATGTCTAGTCTTTACTCTCCCCCTACCAACAGCCACTCAGACTTGCGCTTCTCACCCAGGCCAAAATCTAAACTGGCACAGTAACTCTGCCTAAGGTGTTCAGGGTTGATTGGGTACTTCATGGCAGCCTCCCTCCTTAAGCAGAGATTTGCCTATTAATGGGCACTCTAGGAGGTGTGGTCGATAGAAGTTTTAGCACTGGTAGGTGGGTGGGAGAAAGATTTGATGGCATATGAAGGAGGTGGGAGGGGACAGTGGGCTTTCAGTGTTCTGCCAATCCCCATATGTAAATGGCTACCTCTTGGCCTGAAGGGCTGGATTTGCTTACGAGGTATTGACAGACTCCTTGGAGCAACCAAGCCTGGGTCCTCTGGTGGCCCATTCCCTGGTATTAGCATCACTCTGAGGAACCTCTTGTGTCTGTCTATAGGCACTTTGATAAGTAGCTTTCCATCGTTGTGCCGCACTAGCTGACAGTGTACCCCTGGGAGCAAGACAAGCACCTGGATCCAATCAGCAAGACCATTTGCATTCTGTTTCACCAGGGTAAACTAGCCTGGGGCACAGTCTTAGACTGGGGCCAGCTGTGCCCCGCCCCAGAGCCTTGTTCCTGCAGCAGAGGTGCTGGGCAAGCAGGGGAAATAGAAGGACTCAGGAAACTTAGGGTAGGGGACTGCAGGAGTATGTGTAACAAAAATGAAATAGAGCAGGGGTTGCCAAACTATGGCCCATGGGCCAAATCCCGACCACCACCTATTTTTTATGGCTCAGGAGCTAAGAACGGTTCTTACATTTTTTAATGGTTGAGAAAAAAATCAGAAGAGGCATGTTTTGTGACATGTGAAAACTACATGAAATTCAAATTTTCATGTCTATGGTTTTTGGCACATAGCCACACCCATTTGTTTATGCATGTCTGTAGCTGCTTTCATGATCTCACAGCTGAGTAGTTGCCGCAGTTGCCCATACGGCCTGCCTGTAAAACCTAAAATGTTTACTATCTGGCCCTTCATGGAAAAAGTTTGCTGAGCCCCAAAATTGAGGAAGAGGAACAAAAAAAGGTCATGGAGGGATACTCAAGACAAGTATCTCCTCCCACTTTATTATTTTACCAGAGGCAGGGCCAGGGAGGGGAGAGGTAGAAGGAGGAGGAAGAGGAAGGCAGGCCTTTAGAAATATTTGCCCCTCCTGCCCCTACACCCAAGGACAAGAGCCAACAAAGGGCTCCCTCCCCACATCCCCCCATCTTGCCCCACTGACCAGGCCCACAGTGTTGAACAAAACGCCCGTGAAGGTAGGAAGTTCATTCAGAATTCGTAGATACTGGAGCTTTGCCTGAATTGCAGAGCCCTGTGGAAAAACCCATTCAGAAATATGAGAAGCCTGAGGAGCACAGGAAAAGCAAAGCCATGTTCTCAACGAGGAGTCTCAACATCCTGGGACAGTCACCTGTCAGCAAGTGACACTGTGGAGATGTGAAGACGCCCTCCATAAAACTGCAGGAAGGTTCAAGTTTGCACAGCTCTTCCCTCTAGCATCTCATCTCCCTTTCTAAAACCTTCTCCTACTTCCTGATCTTCATTCCTAAACTATCCAGCTTACTCATTTTGTTTTGGGTTTAGTTCCAACTAACTCTGATGCCCCACCTAATCTATACCTCTCTCCTGAGATCTTTCAGACTCCTAGAGTCACCTAGATTCTGGTCATTCCCCAGCTGGGGATCCCGCTCAATACCTTTCATACTAAGTACTCCTAAGTTCCATAACTGCACTTCAGGCATTCCTGGTCTCTATTAGCATCCCCTGGGAATCGCGCCAGAAACCTGTGAGTCACATTGGACTCCTTAATCGTTTCATGTGAGGGCCACCAGCTACCAGAGCATCTGGATTCTTACCCCCATCTCCTTTTCCAATCTATCCATCCCTCTTCTCTAGCCAGTCATTGCCTTGACATTCCCACCTGTGTCAGGGTGACAGCCAGGTTACCTTCAGGACTGACACTCATTGTTTCCCTCTTTTCCTCAAGTGCCCCCACACACTGCTAGAGGGAGCATCCTAAAACATAAGTTTAATCACATCAACTTCCTGCTTTAAACCCTTAGTGGCTCCCAGCTGCCTACAGGATGAAGTACAACCCCTTTCCTTGGCACACAAGGCCCTCCATGAACAGGCTCCTGCCAACCACTCTGGCCTCTTCTCTTGCCCCTACCTTTACCCCTTGCACACAGCTTGCATTCTCTGCATTGCTTAGGCGGAATGATTTGCATTTCTGTCCTTGCACCATGTTCTCTCATATCTCTGGGCCTTTGTACACATGGATCTCCTTGCCTGGGAAAGACTTCCTCCCATGACCCATGCCCATGGATTCATCTAGACATACTCTTTATCTTTCAAGACCCAGCTCTGGCCTATTTCACCCGCCTCAGGCTGGGTTTAGTATTCTTCCTCTGTGCTGCCAGAGCACCTGTGCCTAATGCACTGTGTTAGGACTGACTACTGTGTTTCTCCATTAAGCTGTGGCTGACTCCGGGGCCAAGACCAGGACTTCTTCATCTTCATACTTCCAGCCCGAGCACGGGGGTGCCTCGAAAAAAATGTTACCTGAGGAGCTGGTGGTAAGCACTGATGCTCTCAGTTGAGAAGAAAACAATCTGATTAAATATGCACAGCAAGGTGGGAATGGCTTAACTCTCTGGGGAAATTTGCATCTTAAAAGAGAAACTAGTTGGTAATGCAAGAAATCTGGAATGGGAGGAATATATGGGGGCGATTGCGTCCCGTATGTACATCTGCATGCTGATTCTAATGCCTCTCACCACTTTTCTGCTTCTTGGGCAGGAAGCACAGGCAGACTGAGCCTTACAAAGCTAAGAAGCTGCTGCGGGGCTCGGGAAAGCAGATAGTGGGAGTCGTCAGAGCACTAGAAAGTGGAGGCAGTGACCTGATCCCTCGCCATTCTACCCAGTGACCCACTATCCAGGTCAGGTCTTGTGCCCCCAACTCTCCCCTTTTTCCCTGGGCTGGGGTTTTGTTTCCCACATTCCATATCCCAGGACTGATGAATTAGAAAGCTATTGAGGTACAGAGGTACATTTCCTTTTTTTATATTTTATTTTATTTGTTATTATTTTTTTAAAAGTAAATACAGTGTCTCACTATGTCCCCAGACTGGGTGTCAAACTCCTGGGCCCAAGCGATCCTTCTGCTTCGGCCTCCCAAAGTGCTGGAATTACAGGCATGAGCCACCACGCCAGCCTAGTCATTTCCATGGAAAACATGTGCCTCCCCAGGATTCAATGCTTTCCACGTGACAGATGCTCAATTGGCACTGACTAACTGGTGAAAGGATCTGAGAATTATCTCCTCCTGCATCTTGGCCCCTTTGCTTTGAGGACCCTGAGCTCTCTCGGTGATGTGTCACTGAACTGTCTCTTGGGGATGCTCAGGCTTGGGGAAGACTCCTCTTCATAACTGCCCCCACACCTGGCTAAGCCATATGTGCAACCGAGTCAAACGCAGTGGTGAGGATCCCCAGAGGACCAGACCCTGCTGGGGAACCACCCAGGATCTCCCTGTGGCCAGTAGTGCCTGAGCACTGTGCCCAGTGGCCTACTCTGGATACCTTGGTGCCGCAGGAAGGATGTGTTTGGTGAGCCTTCAGTTGCTGAGAAAGAGATTTCCGGAGGTTCTTCTCTTTGATGCCCTGCAGGAGGGAGGGGGGAAGAAAGGGTTCCAGACCCCACTCCTTCCTAAAAGCAGAAGAAAAGTAAGAGATTAGTGAGAAAGGCAAAGTGGGACAGAGAGAAGATGGTAAGACAGAAATTGACTGAATCTGAAAGGTAGAGATAGAGGAATAGAGACTGGGAGAAAGAAAAAGGGACAGGGACAGGGAAATAACATTAGCCATAGCTCCCTAGTAGAAGCTGTAGCTCTAGGGCTTCATGGTCTAGATATGAGGGACTCCAATTCTCACTCCCATCCCATGTCCTACATTTCTGAAAAGCATAGCATAGCTCAACAAGTGTACCTTTTCCCTACACAAATATTTGCCCCATCACAAAGGGCCCCAGCCCAACTCACTCCACATTCTTGAGCGAGATCTTCTGACTAGGTCGGGTGGCTGAGACAGTGATATAGATGTGGAGCGCAGCAAGGCCCAAAAGCATCTCTGGCTTGGGGTCCATTCCAAAGCGTTCTCGAATAACATCATTCCGACTCTGCATGAGAGGGCAGTCCAAACCTATCAGTTGAAGGAGACATTCCTTCCCCACCCCCTGATCTACTCCCTTACATCCCAGACAATACTCATGGTATCAGTAAGGCATGCTAGATCAAGGGACAGAGGAAGGTGCTCCCCTTGAGCAAGAGACAACACAGGAGACTGAGGTTTCAGAGACTGTTCACTTCATTCAGCAGATATTGGATAGCCTTCTTCTCAGTGACAGGTGCACACAATGGCAAGGTACAAGCAGACAGTCCAGTTCACTGCAAAAGTGAGACATGGCACCAACTTCCTTTTTAAATTCCTTTTATAAGAGACCTTCTCACATTTTTTCTTGGGGTTATACTCACCCCCAAGCTATACATGGCTCCTTTACTAGCTCGGATGGAAAAAAGGGGAGAAACATATTAGGAGGGATAGGGCCCTGGCCCAGAAGCCCAGGGTAAGAGCTGGATTGCAAGGATGGGGAGGCATTCTGCTTGATGTCTGAAGGACAAAAATATTGATGAGTCAATCTTCCCTATGCTATCCTAGAGGAGGTCTCCAGGAACTACTGGCCACGGGTATGACAACCCCCAAACCTTGAGGGTGACAGCCCCAGCTATCAATGAGTCACCCTTGGTTAGACCAGTTGCCTATTTTGTTAAAGTGGAACCAGGATAGACTAAGAGACTAGGGAGCCACAGTGATATCACTGTAGTATAGGAGAGAGTGGAAAAGGATTACATCATCAATGATCATCTATGCAGAAAATTCAGTGGAATCTATTACAAAAAATTACTACACCTACAGTCTTCCCTCGGTATCCGTGGAGGATATCTTCCAGGACCCCCATGGATACTGAAATTTGTGAATGTTCAAATCCTTTATATAAAATGCTGTAGTATTTGCATGTAACCTATGCAAATCCTCCTTTATACTTTAAATCACCTCTAGATTACTTATAGTACCTAATATAATTAAACTGTTAGGTAGGACTGGATGTGATGGCTCATGCCTGTAATCATAGCACTTTGAGAGGCTGAGTCTGGTGGATCACCTAAGATCAGGAGTTTGAAACCAGCCTCACCAACATGGTGAAACCCTGTCTCTAAAAATACAAAAATTAGCTGGGCATGGTGGCACATGCCTGTAATCCCAGCTACTCTAGAGGCTGAAGCAGGAGAATCACTTGAACCTGGGAGGTAGAGGTTCCAGTGAGACGAGAGCAAAACTCCATCTCAAAAAAAAAAAAAAACAAAAAAGTTATGTAGGCCAGGTGCCATGGCTCATGCCTGAAATATCAGCACTTTGGGAGGCTGAGACAGGTGAATCACTTGAGGTCAGTAATTCGAGACCAGCCTGGCCAACATGGTGAAACCCTGTCTCTATTAAAAATTCAAAAATTAGGCTGGAGGCGGTGGCTTATCCCTATAATCCTAGCACTTTGGGAGGCTGAGGTGGGTGGATCACCAGGTCAAGAGATCGAGACCATCCTGGTCAACATGGTGAAGCCCCGTCTCTACTAAAAATACAAAAATTAGCTGGGCATGGTGGCGCACGCCTGTAGTCCCAGCTACTCAGGAGGCTGAGGCAGGGGAATTGCTTGAACCCAGGAGGCGGAGGTTGTGGTGAGCCGAGATTGCGCCATTGCACTCCAGCCTGGGTAACAAGAGCGAAACTCTGTCTAAAAAAAAAAAAATTCAAAAATTAGCTGGTGGTGCATGTCTATAGTCCCAGCTACTTGGGAGGCTGAGGCAGGAGAGTCATTTGAACCTGGGAGGCGGAGGTTGCAGTGAGCTTCGATCATGGCACTGCACTCCAGCCTGGGTGACAGAGAAAGACTCCATTACAAAATAAAATAAAATAACAATGCTCTGTAAATAGCTATTATACTGTATTTTTAAACTTCGTATTTTTTAAATTACTGTACCATTGTTTTTTATTGTTTTTCAAATATTTTCAAAATCCACATATATGAAACCTGTAGATATGAAGGGCCAAATGTAGTGAGTTTACCAAGGTTTCGGTATATAAGATCAATACGCAGAAATCAATTGTATTTCTATTTTCTTTTAAAAAATCTTTTTTCTTTTTTTATAAAGATGGGGTCTCACTATGTTGCCCAGGCTGGTCTTGAACTCCCAAACTCAAGTGATCTTCCTGCTTCAGCCTCCCAAAGTGCCGGAATTACAGGCGAACATGCCCAACCCCAATTGTATTTGTATATGCTAGCAAGAAATAATTGAAAATTGAAATTCAAATCAAAATCATTTACAATAGCATCAAAAAATATGAAATAATTGGTGACAAATCTGACAAAACATGTGAAGGCCTATATACTGAAAACTACAAAATACTGTTGAGAAAAATTATAGAAGGTCTAATTAAATGTAGAAGTATTGTGTTCAGAGGTTGGAAGACTCAATATTGTTAAGATGTCAATTGTCCTCAAATTGATCTGTAGTTTCAACATAATCTCAATCCAAATCACAGCAGGTTTTGGTAGAAATTATCAAGGTAATTCTAAAATTCACATGAAAATGCAAAGGACCTATAATAGCCAAATCAACTTTGAAAAAGAACAAAGTTGGAGAACAAATACTTCCTGATTTCAAGAATTATTATGAAGCTCTAGTAATCAAAAGAATGTGATGTTGACATAAGTACAGATAAGTAGATCGACAGATCACAACAGAGAGTTCAGAAATAGATCTATACATATATAGACAACAGATTTCTGACAAAAGTACAATGGTAATTCAGTGGAGAAAGTATAGTCTTTTTTTTTTTTTTTTTTTGAGATGGAGTTTCGCTCTTGTTACCCAGGCTGGAGTGCAATGGCGCGATCTCGGCTCACCGCAACCTCCGCCTCCTGGGTTCAGGCAATTCTCCTGCCTCAACCTCCTGAGTAGCTGGGACTACAGGCACGCGCCACCATGCCCAGCTAATTTTTTGTAGTTTTAGTAGAGACGGGGTTTCACCATGTTGACCAGGATGGTCTTGATCTCTTGACCTTGTGATCCACCCGCCTCGGCCTCCCAAAGTGCTGGGATTACAGGCTTGAGCCACCGCGCCCTGCCGAAAGTATAGTCTTTTTAACAAAAGGTGCTGGAACAATTGGATGTCCATATGCAAAAACAAAAAACAAAAAAACAAAACCCCACGAAACTTTGATGGATACCTTATACCACATACAAAAGTTAATTCAAATGGATCATAGGCCTAAATATAAAACTGTAAATGATAAAACATCTAGAAAAAAAGAGAAAAATTCTTGTAACTGTGGGTTAGACAAAGATTTTTTTAGATATGACACCAAAAGCACTGTCCATAAAAGAACAAATTAGCAAATTGGACTTCATCAAAATTCAAACATTTGCTCTGTGAAAGACATTGTTTGGAGACTGAAAAGGCAAGCCACATACTGGAAGAAAATAATTGCAAATAGTATATCCAACAAACGACTTGCATCCAGAATAAATAAAGAACTCTCAAAACTCAATAAGTAAGCAACCCAATAAAAAAGCAGGCAAGATCTAAACAGTCACTTCACCGAAGAAGATGCGTGGCATCAAATAAACACATGAAAAGATGCTCAACATCATTAGTCATTAGGAAAATGCAAGTGAAAAGCATAATGAGATGCCACTACACACTATCGGAATGACTAAATGTTAAAAAAGAATACTGACAATACCAAGTGCTGATAAGTATATGAGAAACTGAAACTCTCATACATGGCTGGTGGGAATGAAAGGTGGTACAACTACATTTGAAAAAAGTATTGCAGTTTCTTTACAAAATTAAAGTAGATCTACCATATGCTCAAACCATTCCAAACCTGTTTACCCCAAAGAAAAGAAGGCAAATGTCCATACAAAGACTGCTACATGAATGTTCATAGAAGTTTTATTGTAATAACTAAAACCTGGAAACAAGCCAAATGTTCATCAACAGATGAATCAATAAACACATTCTAGAATATCCATACCATGAAATACTACCTGACAATAAAAATGAATGAAATATTGATACATGCAACAACATGGATGGATCTCAAAATCAGTATGCTGGGCCAAATAAGTCAGATCAAAATAAGTGTATGTACCATATGATCTCATTTCTATATAACTCTAAAAAGTGCAAACTAATCTATAGTTACAGAAAGCACGTCAGTGGTAGACTAGGACTGGGAGGGATGAATTATAAAGTGGCCTGAATAAACTTTTGGGAGTGTTAGATATGTTCAATATTTTGATTGTGGTGATAGTTTCATGGGTATAAACGTAGGTCAAAACTTACGGTATTGTGTATTTTAAACATGTATGCTTTGTCATTTGTCAATTAGCCCTCAATAAAGCTGTTACGTATAAAAAATAAAGAATACAGCTGAAGTCCATATCATCATGAAGGAGAAGGATAGAATGGACATGATCTTGTCACTAACTTTTAAAATATTCAAATCAAGGTAATCCTTGGAAGCTTGAATGAAGAAATTTAGGGCAAAAAAAAAAATGAGAACTAAAACTATGAAATTCACAGAGCAACCACAACTCATTGTCTCCTAGAAGGTTTGTAAATGAACTTGAGGCTATTTGCAAAATATTCCTAACATTTTAGATTGTCAGAAGAGTCAAAAAGGACAATCACAATGTCTCATAGCACCTCCCGAGGTATCACCATCAGAGACAGATGAAGTTTTAGTTTTTTCTCTCATTAAGTGCTGTTGTATGTCCTATGGGCAACTAAAAGTCAACATTTCCCAAAATGAACTCATCTTTTCCCTAAACCCATTCCATTGCCTGTATTCTCTAACGGGAATGATACCACCTCCACAGGACACTCATTAAGTTAAAGCCTATCCATTCTACCCTTTAAATCTCTCTTGCAACCCATCTCACCTGCTTCATCATGGCCCTGGTTCTAGCCCTTGTCATTTCTTCTGGATAACTGCCATAGCTCCCTAGCTGGTATACTTCTTCAACACTTGTGTGGTCTTTTGAAATTGCTCATCTGACCAGGCTATTCTCCTTTAATCATTTCCGCTCTCCTACCCTCTGCAGAATTTTTTCACTTTGGCTGCACATTAGGATCACTTGAGGAATTAATAAAAAAATACCAGTGTTTGAAACCCACTCCCATAGATTTTGATTCAACTGGTCTTGGATGGAGCACAGCATTTTCCCAAAGTCTCCTAGATAATTTTAATGTGCATCTAGGGTTAAAACCCACTGTCACAAGGCAGAGGTTCTCAAAATCTTTTGGGTATCAGAATCCCCTGGAGGGCTTGTTAAAACACGGAGTACTGAATTCTACCTCCAGAGTTTCTGACTCAGTAGGACTGGGCTGGGGCCTAAGAATTTGCATTTCTAACAAGTGTCCAGTTGATTCTGATGCTACCAGCCCAGGAAACATGAAATTGCAAAGAACCTAGAACAGCCACACTTCAATCATAAAGTCTATGCTTGCCTTGGCCTACCAAAGCCTTTCACCCTGCTTCCTGTCTCTCCAACTTTATCTCCTACTCCTCCTTACCTCACATCCTGTACTCTAGCCATTGGAAATCACTCATGGTTCTCTCATGCCATGCTGTTTCATGCCACCATGGCTTTGTAAATGCAAGGCCCTTTGCTTAGAGTATGTCCCCTCCACTCCATCTCTCTACACAGCAAACTCCCACTCATTCTTCAAGGCTAAGAGCATGGATATATCACTTCCTCCACTTAGCCTGCACCGTCTCTCTTGTGTAGAGTTGGAAAAATGCTTCCTGAGTGCCCTCATCTTCGTTGCACCCTGGTGCTGTCTTATTTATTCATGCACATATCAGCTCCAGTGAGCCAGGACAGTCCTTCATTCACTTCTGATTGCTAGTACCTAGCATAAGACTTAACCCAGAGAAAGTGTCCAGTAAATGTTTCTGGATGAACTGAATTGGGAATCATCTCATACTGGAGCTAAGTATTGGGGGTTGGGGCCCGTTGAAACCCAAATGGGTTTGTTAAATTTTAGGATAGTAAAGTTTAGGATGCCAGAGTTACTGGGGTTGCTTGTTTCTGAAAGCTGAACAGATCTGAGTGGACAAATAGACAAGACTTTGAGCTCACAGCCAGCTCAGGTCACCAGGCCAACCAATTTGGCCATGACCTACAATCGTAGCAGAAAAGGAAGGAAAGGGCCTTCAGGGCTACCTGGAGGTTGGAAAAACTTACATAGTGACTTCATTGTGGTGGCAGAACAGCCTGCCTGCTTGTTTGTCCACTGGTCTGTCTGTGTATCCCCAAGCCAGACTCTACCTGGATATATAGATACTCAAAAGCAGCAGGATCCCGACGCAGCAGCTCCACAGGGTCTTTGGGAAAGAAGCTTATTCGGAAGAGGCATTTCATTCCATGATAGTGTGTCCGCTGTACCACCTGAATTCCAGGGATGAAAGGCGAGAAGAAAAGAGATCTGGAATCAATGGCTGGGATGGTGGGCACGCAGCTCAGTGGCTCCTTAAGGTGGGGCTTGAGGCAGAGCTAATAAGCTCTTGTTTCTTACTCTGTCTCCCATCTGGCTGATTCCAAAAGTGTTGAGGAGTCAGCTCTTTTCAACCCTTCTGAGCCAAAATAAAAGGAATTTTCAAATCACTTATCTAGGACATGACCTTTATCAACCACTGGGTCTAAGGCCCAAGACACTAGGCAGGAAGGTAGGGCTCCTGGCAATGGCTCAGACTCTTCTTGCCATGGGATTCATACCTTTACCTTGCAGAGGGGCTCAGCCTCAAGCAGAGTAAATTGCTGATTAGAGTAAATCAAAGGTTTAAAATCTTATTTGTAGGTACAGATGAAACAACTTGGCACTATATTGATAATTGTTGAACCTGAGAATGGGTAATAGGTTAATGATACTATATTCCTCCTACTTGTGTGTATGTTTGCAACTTTTCATAATAAAAAAGTTTAAAATCCCATTTGGAAAAGGAGATCAACTGAATTCAAAGGGCTGCTTGGGGGTGAGGGAGGTGCCTAGGCCTCCTTGCAGGCAGGGTGCCCACCTTTCCTTCCCACCAGTGAGTCTCTGTATTGCATTTGGCTGAGAATTAAACTTGAATCTCTCTTTCCAAAAATCCTTTCCTCTTTTTGTCTGATCTGGGGTTTTGTTTGGCTTTCATGTTCGGTCTGAAAAGGTGTTTCTTCCACTCTTGCTCTCCAAGTCTGTCCCACCGTAGTTGGGAGTACTGCTTGGCTTTGACTGTATCTCTGACGCTTCTTAATGCTTCACTGTTGATGAAATGCTATCCAGAAATCCTGGATTTCCCCAGCCCTTTTCTACACGGTGAGGGCTAGAAAGACCAGATGATACTTTTTCGATGTGGGTGACACGCTGCCTATTTTTGACCTTGCTCAGTCAATTCTCAACTCCCGTTTGTCCTAGGACTTCACTGGCCTTTGTGGTAGCCCAGGCTCTGTGTTCCACAATGAGTAAAGTCACCCCTAGTGCTGCTTAGAGGCCCTGGGGAGAGGTGCAGAGGTAGGTGTTTCTGAATTTCACCTGGCCAGACATATGGCAAAAGAAGGGACAAGTGAGAGCCCTAGGACAAGTGGGAATTGGGAATTGGCTGAGTAGTGTCTACTCCCTGACGCTTCCATAATAGCCTTCATGCAAAAGGCCAAGTTTTGTCCCAGGAAGCAGAAAAATCTATCATGTGGAGTTTCTAGGAGCCAGGAGACTTGCCATTCATTGCTCCTTATCTCAGCATTCTGGGTGCCATGTGGTGAATCACCCCACACTCTTCCCCCTAGGGACCAAGACTAATGATCTTTATGCTCTTCTCAGCTCACAAAGGCCATTGCCAAAAGCCCTCTGGAGGTGGGTAATACCAGCTTTGGGTGAGAACTGTGACTTCTGGGAACCGGCTGAGCATATCATTATGAATTTTCCAGACAGGGAGTGCCTTGGGTCTTCTCTACTAGAGGCCACATGCAAAACTATGTGGAAAAAAGTGTTACTTACATAAGCCAGGGGTTGCTTGTCCTGAAGAAGCAGAAACTTGTGATTCTGTTCTGGCCCGGCGTACTCAAGGACAAGAGCAAAGTGCTCAATGTACCTCAAGGAGAGGCGGTCCTGTAATGTTACCATCACATCCTGTGGGACAGAAAAGAGCCTTGAGCGGGAGATTGGTTCTGGCCTTAAGCTATACTAAGGACTAAACATGGGAGTGGGGATTAAACACCAAGAAAAGAAAGATAGTCCCTGGGGAGAAGGCTGCAACACTGGCCTTTATGGGTAGCCCAGGCTGTGACTCACAATGAGTAAAATGACCAACGAGTGCCTACTCAGAGGCCTGGGCCCGGGGGAGAGGTGCAGAAGTTTCGAGGTTGGTGTTTCTGAAAAGAAGGTCATGTCTCTCCCTCCCTAGCTCTCTCCTTCCACTCAACAAATTATTTCCTAAATGCTTACTAAATGCCAGGCACTGTGGTGGTTCTCCCTTCACTTTCTCTTACAAGTCAGAATATCGACTTGGGTTTGTCTGTCAACTCTTAGGAATGAACAAAAGCAAAAGTGACATTTATATGATTAAAAAGTGTACTATTTCTGGATTCATAATCTAAATCAAATGACTTGAGTTACTGGCAAAATGTTCATTTTTGACCATAGCTGGTTTTTATAGATCATCAATTTAGCAACTTGAAAAATGTATGCACGCAGAGGAACTATGTCATGTGTTTTGGGTACAGTCATGAATCTGACTACTTCTAGGTTCCGTCTGCTCTGCTGCCCTACTTTTAATATGAGGGTGTCTGAAAACACATCAGTGGGGGCTGCACAAATGTCAGTTTTGAGACTTCTGCCACCGATTTGCTGTAACTTTGGCTTATGCAGGGCTCCAATGTGTGTGTTCATGGAGTCAGCATCTCTCAGCCCCCAAACGCTGGAAAGAATCAGGCTTGGGAATGTGAAGCATCCTTACAACCGTGGTTGCCAAGCAAGCCCCTCAGTGAACACCGAAAGACATTCAGTTATTCAAATGTTAGGCTGGAAATTGGTGGGTACTTGAGAGCATCTCTTTGTGTTGTCCAAGTAGTCACAGAGGCACCAGTGTTGCTGGAGCTCTGTCAGGGACAGATGAGGTTTTCTTTGCAGTTCAGCTGCACTGGGAATGTGGACAGCCAAGCCAGCGATTGCCAACTGGTGTTACAAGTGTAACAGCCCCTGTGCAGGCTGTCAATTCACCCAGGTACCTCTCTGGGACAAGTGGCTTGGCAGCCTGTCAAAGTTCCAGTAAGTTGCCAGCACCCTTCCTGGAGTCAGATTGAGATCACAAACGAGGGGGAACACTGCTATCTTCGAAGGCTGGGGCCACCTGGAAGCCACAATAGAGCTGATGATGTGAGGTGGGGAAGTTCAGAGAAGTCTCCAAGGGGAAAGAGAGGGCACTAAACACTCCAGCATGGAGACAGAGCCCACAATGGACCTACCAACCCATGAATAAAACACCAAGGAGGATTCTGATACAAAGTGATATTCTCATCTGCGGGAGGCACATTTGGATATCTCCTGGGTGGCTTAGTTCTGTTTCAATGCCCCCTCCCATAGCCTGAGAACTTCAATAGCCAAAAGACCATTCCATGTCACCCTAAGTAGTTTGTTTAGGTCCTAGGTCCCCTGGGGGACCTACTTAGGCCTAAGCCTTTCAAAAAAATTCTTCATTCACAGACTGTCCCACTCCCTGCAGAATACTTAGTGTCTCCGACCCTAAGACATAAAATGCCAGTAGCACATCCAATCATTGGGATGACCTAAAACACCCTTAGACATTTCCAAAAGCTCTCTAAGAGTGGGAAGTAGCAATCCTGTTTGAAAACCACTGGCAAGACCCATTCTGACTACCTGATAACTCCTCTTGGCATGCTGGCCCAGGAGTTTCTTTACTTATAGAGTTGCCTTGGTCCCAGCGTGGGAATCACAGGATAACTGTGGACCAAGCTAGGTTTTCTGGGTAGATGCTGCAGCAGCCGGGTAGTTTGGGTAGCATTAGTTGCATTCAAACACTCGTTCTGGGAATGGCATTCTCTTTCTGGAGAGAGTCCAGAAGATGCAGGAATGGATATTTCTGTCCCAGAGCAGAGTTGAATCTGGGGGTGAATCATATTATCATTTCTATTCCTAAGGATTAGAGGAAAGTCATCAGGACTTTTCTGAAACCTGGCTGAGCTGTTAAGAAGCACAGATCAGTAATTCCTCTTCCTGTGAAAAGAACAGCCAAAGAGGCTACGGCTTGACTTTTCAAATCTTGGTTCAGTGCTTGAGATCAGGTTGTTATTTAAAAAGCTAGGCATAGCTAAGCTAATCTCCCAAGAGACTGTGTTTATTTCTGTGCTTAAACTTGCTTAGGTGTTATTGTATCAATATAAATCACTTTTGCTTTATAAATGGCTTAATGATCTTCATACTCCTTAGTTCCTAAGAATCCTGAAGGACCCCATGTAACACAAACACAAAGCAGTTCACAAATGTAAGTGCACACACATGGTTTAACAATTACTAGCACACAGTTGAGCATGCAAATTTCCACCACCACTCTCATCTGGGACTGTGCCTTTTTGCAGCCTTGCGCTAACAAGCATCCCGAGCTTAAAGGCCACCTTACTCCAGTGGCAAGCAGCTATGTGCCGACTCAGAGGAACACAGGACACACAATCGCATATACTCTGGAGAGGGCTACGCTGATCCACGGGGAGGAGACTGTATGTACCTTAACAGTGGTCCGGCCATCAAATGTGAATGACTTGATTTGCCCATTTTCTAAGAAAACCTTCAGGACGTTGGGAATGAGGAGGAGAGCTTCCTTCTTCATCATTTTCTGTAAACAAGCAGGAAAGGACAAGGGGAGGGGCTCATTTAGAAGGAGGTAGGAAGCCAGAGGAAGGGTGTGAGAAGGGAGAGAGAAAAGGAGATGGAGACAGAGAGCCAAAGGTGTAAGAGGACAGAGACAGAGGAACGAGCAGATCAATAATACATGGGGACCAGAACCAAATTCTCCAACACGACACAGTCATATCAAAAGCTCACCTCCATTTGACATCACAGATCACCCATATTCTACTGTGGTTCAAACCTCCACAGATCAGAGCATAGGGATCAGCACACATCCCCTGAAGGGCTGATGACAGGCCTCCTTTGGAGTCTACTTTACCCACGTGATCTTATCTCCGACTTTTTAAAAAATACCTTCTACAAAGCTTCTAGACTGATCTTATCTCCTGATTCCTCCCTTTCCCCCAGCCTCTTCACAAGTGAAGATCACATCCCATCCAGGCCTTGGCCCTGCCTTTTCCCCTCCCTAGGCCCTTTCTGACCTGGCCCCTACCTAGTCTCCAGACTCACGTCTTGCATATTCCTAGTACCCACACCTCTAGACCTCTGATGATTCTTCATCATTCAGGGACTGTCCCACTCCTGCACAACACTTAGCATCTCTGACCCTGAGACATGAAGTGCTAGTAGCACACCAAATCATTGGGATGACCTGAAACACCCTCGGACATTTTTTCTTTCTTCCTTTCTTTCTCTTTCTCTCTTTCTTTCTTTCTTTTTCTTTCTTTTCTTTTCTTTTCTTTTCTTTTCTTTTCTTTTTTTTTATTTTGAGACCGAGTCTTGTTCTGACGCTCAGGCTGGAGTGTAGTGGCACGATCTTGGTTCACTGAAACCTCCACCTCCTCAGTTCAAGCAATTCTCCTACCTCAGCCTCTCCAATAGCTGGGATCACAGGCGAGAGTCACCACATCAGGCCCTCAGACATTTTCAAAAGCTCTCTAGTAGTGGGCAGTACTGATTCCGACTCAGAAGTTCTCAATAAAAATTCATTAAATAAGGGCTGTTCTCTTTCTCTGAGGACTCTAAAAGAAAAAAAAGGCTGTTCTCTCTGCGTTTCTCTTTTCCTCTTTGGCAAACTCCTATTTATCCTTCAAAACCCAGCTCAAATATGTATTCTGTAAAGTCTTGGTCTAATATCATCAGATACTTGGATGTGGTTTTCCATGCATTCCTATAGCAATTTATACACACTTCTCACTATGCTCTTACCATATTTTGTTTTGTTTTGTTTTTGAGACAGGGTCTCACTCTATTGCCCAGGCTAGAGTGCAGTGGTGCAATCATAGCTCACTGCAGCCTCAAACTCCTGGGCTTAAGTGATCCTCCCACCTCAGCCTCCCAAATAGCTAGGACTACAGGCATGTGCCACTATATCTAGCTAATTTTTTTCCTTTTTGTAGTGACAGGGTCTCACTATGTTGCCGAAACTCACCTTTATCATATTTTTGAAGGATATTTGTCTTTCACAATCAAATGATGAACTGAGAGCACAAGGACCATGTCCTATTTATCTTTGTAGTCCCAACACTAAAGAAAGTTTCTGGCACATGTTTGGTGCACACTAAGAGGCTGCTGAATGAATGGGCAGTAGGTGCTTAATGTGTACTTATTGAACAATCACACGCATCCCAACTATTTCCCTGGGCCAACGTCATCATCAGTTCTATAGGAATGGAAAAGCTGCAGAGATAACCAGATTCCTTAATTCACCGGGCATGCATTGAGCCTCTCCTGTATGCACAACATTATGCTAAGTCTCTATGAGAGCTACAGAAGATTTAAGTCCAGTCTTAAATTTTTGTTATAGTGACTTGGCACACATACACATTATAAAACCAAAGCAAACCAACAGGTATAAGATGGCTAAAGTTTCCTAGATAAGGCAAATTGGATTTTGATTTTGAAGGAGACGGTGGGTATGGATGATTTGAGAAGCCAGATGAGAACAGTCCAGACCTAGAGACTGTCACGTATCATTGACAAAGCATGAAAGGAGGAACAAGCAACTCCTCCTGGGTTGGGATATGGTTGATAGTTGGGAGGAGCCAAGAGACAAGCTTGGCTATGGTCAAGCCGAGGTGGGAAGTGATAGAATATAAAATTGGAAGAGTGTGACTCCCTGGTCCCCTCCCTAATCTTAAGATGCCTTGTTCCTGTCAGGCCCAGAGGCCCCGGATCCCCCAACCGATGACGCTCACGGTGGCAGGTTTTATTTAGCACACTGGGTTGGACTTAGATAATTACTTAATTGATTTTGCTTAAAAATAGAGTTGGCAAGGAACGCCCACAGGATTTATTTTTGCTCTGGCTGCTTAATAAAGCCTTGGAACACGAAAGGAAAGGGTTGATAGGACAGCCTGGAGTCACCTGGGCCTGGACTCCCCCAGGTCCTGACCTGTGATGAAGCTGCTATGGTCCATACTGGCTGCAGTATGGAGAAAGGTGCTGTTGTAACATCAGGTAATTTCATGAGTGTAGCGAAAGCTGGAAGATTGATGTCTGTCTCTCACCCAGACAAGAGCCTTGCACTATGCCTGATAGCCTGTCCAAGAAAAAGAAGTAACTCTAGGTGGGTCCCAGCTACTCTGCAGCATTTGCATTCAGATTAGACTGGAGTGGGGGCTTGTTTATGCCTGTAGCCTAGCTGTGATGTATGCAGAGGGAAATCATGGTGGAGGAAGGAGAGAGTGGGGAAGGGGAAGTAAAAGGGAGAGGAAGAGAGGAGAAGGAAGGGGAAGGGGGAGGAAGGGAAGGAGTTCTTCACTGGGTGGCCTGCCCTTGACTGATTACTCTGCAATGTTGAGATGGGGTAGGATGAACCTGTTCATGCTTCCCAAATCCAAGTCATATGTCCTCTGGGTTTTCAAGCACTCAGGACTCTTCCTGGTGACTTGGATCTTGGGGTCTGTTTCACCCTGATTTGCAGAGACTCAATTTTACTCCTCTTCCCCTCTGCTCACCAATTATCACGTCTCTTAAACATTTTCTGCTAGAATTGACACAGATCCCAGCTATCAATTATCCAGACAGTTTGCCCAGTGGGGTCCTATAGTCCCCTGGGCTTGCCAGCCTTCCTTGTGCAGAGATGGAGGAGGGTATAGGCTGATTTTGGGAATGAGAGTGAGGGAAATGGAGATGGAAGACACCTGTATCCTCTATCCCTTCTTCTCAGTGACTATGCCTCAAATAATATAGAAGTGCCTGGCACCCTGCTGATTTCCCTTCTCTGTCTGGGCCTGCTATCTTCTCCCGACAAGTGCGGCTGTGCCTCAGTACATAAATACCAAGGGCCTCCAGACAGCTCTGCCTGTCACAGCTATCAAAATCACACGAGTACCTGTTAGCTCTAGCTATCCCCTCCGCCCTCACCAGGATATCACTAACTTCTGCAGATTCCTGAGGGACTCGGCCAGAATGCATGACTGCTTAACACGCTTCTTTTCTGCTCTTCACCTGCCTCTTCTCATTTGCATACCTGGAGTCGACAGTTCATTGCATGTAAACCTCCCAAAGCAGTGAGAAACACTGTGGCTGACCAAGACACCCCAGATTGGCAGCTGCAAGGCATGGGATGTCAAATATTACCTGTCCTTCGAAACAATATCACCCAGTAGTAGATTCTGTATTATCTCAATTGGAACCACTTGTCCCCCTCAACATTGCCGAGAGGTATCCAGTAGCAGGGAACAGGTATTCATTTTGCCTCCCTTCTGGTGCTGAGAACACAGCAGGTGTCTAATAAAAACTTGGTGCCTTAATGAGAGTCTGTATCATTTCCACTAGGCAGCTTCACTCATCACTGCATGGCCTTTTCCAGTCAAGATGTGGAGTTGCAGGATCACTTAAATGTGAAGAGAGCTAAATTTCACCAGCCACTCATTCCTGGGTCTTCAGGAAGCCATTATTTCCTTCCTGTTTCTATCAAGTAGCAAGAGATGTGTATGGAGCACTCGCTCTGAGTGTAAGCGACTGTGTTAGGGATAGAAATTTCTCTAAGCATCAGAAGGCTCTTGAGTGAATCAATATATAGTCCTTCTCCCCACAATTCCTGGGGCCTCTCCAGATGTCACATATCCCTCTTCACTCACTACTTTTCCCCCTCCAGCACCTGGATGCTCCCACTCTAACCCATTGGGAAAGCTGTCCACCATAAGTAGCCCCAGAGCGAGAGCTTGACAGCCAGGCAGATTATGGCCAGGGGCTGAGGAGAGGGAGCCGAAGCTGCACTTACTGCATCTGTTTCTCCAACTGCCACCTGCTCAGAAAATCGAACCTTCACAGGATTGGACCTCAGCTTGGCCTTCTTCGCAGCACTGATGAAAGCAGATTTGGGGGACTGGAAAAAGAACAGAGAGCTGATGAGTTCTCCATCCCTGGGGCAAACCTGGCCTTTGTCACATCAGAGCTAAGATGTCCCAGTACAGGTACACTTTGCATTACTGATCAAGGAGTCAATAAATAAATATCGATTACCTACTAGGTGCAAGGCAGCGTGCTAAATGCTTCCCTGTATAGTTGGTGTGTTCTGAAAAGGCTGGGCATGAATTGAATTTGGGTAGCTTGAATCCCATTATTAATACTCTAGGCCTAGGGGAGTTTGCAAAAGTTCTTTGGTAATAACATACATTGAATTTTTATATATTTGGTTTTCTTTATGTGAGATAGACCTAAGTGGTGTCTTTTTTATGACATCTGAATATAAGCATCCCAAAGAATTTACAGAAATGATCTTATTCATCTCACAGACATGCCCTGCCCCTAGGAAGGAGTTGTATAGTGAATACTATTTTAGATGTGGGAGAAAGGAGACCTAGCACTCCAAAAGGATTTACCCACAGTTACTACACTGTTAGGTAATAGAGATGTGAGATTTAACCCAGGTCTCCTGGCTTTCTTGTTTTGGGCTCTGCACCACTTTGTTTATCCAATTCTGTTAGAAATGGCCAAAAAATCAGCACGGCGTTTTTTTTTTTTTTTTTTTTTTTTTTTTTAATAGAGTTTCACTCTTGGCACCCAGGCTGGAGTGCAATGGCACAATCTCAGCTCACTGCAACTTCTGATTCTTGGGTTCAAGTGATTCTCCAGCCTTGCCTCCTGAGTAGCTGGGATTACAGGTATGCGCCCCACACCCAGCTAATTTTGTATTTTTAGTAGAGATGGGGTCTCATCATGTTGGCCAGGCTGGTCTCGAACTCCTGACCTTAGGTGATCCACCTGTCTCAGCCTCCCAAAGTCCTGGGCTTACATGCCACCATGCCTGCTGGCTTTGTAGTTCTTGAAAACTCTCCCACAATTTTAGCAGGAAGCATGATTAGTAAACACTGGAAACTAAGCCTTTCCTGGTTGCTCCTTGGATTCTAGCTCCCTGATGAGCTCTGTATGGCCCAGCAAGCAGGAAATAGAGGAGGTGCGCTGAGGGGCATCCTCACTGTCTTTAGGGGGTCGTTTGTTCATTCATTTGACAAATTTAGCAAGGGCCTACTACATGCCACACACTGTTCTAGGTGATGAGGTATAGAGCAGTCAATAAGACAGACAAAACTCCCTAGCCTCATGGAGTGTCCATTCCAGCAGAGATAGAGAGAATAAATATCTTTTTGTATATTCACAAAAAGAAGGTAGCAAAGAAGGACTATGAGGAAAAATAAGGCAGGGTAAAGTACTACACAAGAGAATCAGTGAGTTAGGGTGGGAGTGGTGAGGGCATTATTTTATCAATTTTGAAATATATAATACATTATTATTAACTATATTCACCATGCTGTGCAGTAGATGTCAAAAACTTATTCCTCCTGTCTAACTGAGCCTTTGTACCCCTTGAACAGCATCTCCCCATTCCCTCCCCAACCTCAGTCTCTAGTGATCACCATTCTATGCTCCACTTCTATGATTTTGACTTTTTTAGATTATACATGTAAGTGAGATCATGCGGTATTTGTCTTTCTGTGTCTGGCTTATAATAAAAATAATTATTATTTCATTTAGTATAATGTCCTCCAAGTTCATCCATGTTGTAGCAAGTGACAGGATTTACTTCTTCTTAAAGGCTGAATAGTATTCCATTGTGTATTTATACCACATTTTCTTCATCCATTAATCTGTTGATGGTGGACACTTAGGTTGTTTCCATATCTTGGCTATGGTGAATAGTGCTGCCATGAACATGGGAATGCAGATGGCTCTTTGGCATAGTAATTTCAATTCCCTTGGATATATATTCACAAGTAGGATTGTGGAGGTTTTTTAAATTTTTTATTTTTGAGATGGAGTCTCGCTCTGTCACCAGGCTGGAGTGCAGTGGCACAATCTCAGCTCATTGCAACCTCTGCCTCTCGGGTTCAAGCAATTCTCCTGCATCAGCCTCCTGAGTAGCTGCAACTACATATGCACCACCATGCCCAGATAATTTTTGTATTTTTAGTAGAGACGGAGTTTCACCATGTTGGCCAGGATGGTCTTGATCTCTTGACCTCGTGATCCACCCACCTCGGCCTCCCAAAGTAGTGGGATTACAGGCGTCAACCACTGCACCAGGCCTTAGTTTTTTTTTTTTAGATGGAGTCTTGCTCTGTCGCCCAGGCTAGAGTGTAGTGGTATGACCTCGGCTCACTGCAACCTCTGCCTCTCCAGTTCAAGTGATTCACCTGCTTCAGCCTCCCAAGTAGCTGAGATTATAGGTGTGCATCACCATGCCCAGCTAATTTTTGTATTTTTGGTAGAGACAGGTTCTCACCATGTTGGCCAGGCTGGTCTCAAACTCCTGACCTCAAGTGATCCACCCACCTCAGCCTCCCAAAGTGCTGGGATTACAGGTCTCAGCCATGGCACCTGGTCACTGTGGGGGTTATTTTAGACAGGATGGTCAGGGAAGACCTCTCTGAGGATGAAACATTAAGCAGAAACTTAAGGAAGTGAGGGAGAGACGGTCACCAGGTTATCTGGAGAAAAGCTTCTGGGCAGAAAATACAATAAAGGCCTTGAGGTGAACTGAGGTGTATGAAGAACAGAAAGGAAGACCAAAGTGGCTAGAGTGGAATGATGGAGCAGGAGCGGCAGCGGGAGGGGAGATGCTCAGAGATGCAGCTGGGAGCTGGGTCATGTAGGACCTTGTAAACCATGGTGAGGACTTTGGATTTCACTCCACTACAGGGTTTTGATTGAACAGGGTCTGGTACGCATTTTAAAAGGAAGCTTCTGGCTCCTGTGTGGAAAACAAGTGTAGAAGGGCAATGGCAGAAGCAGGGAGAACAGTTGGGGGTCTCTAAGTACAATATTTGTAATTGCAATAAAATGGTTAAAACACAATGGAGGCTTGGGCTAGGATGGTAATGATGGAGATGATGAAAAATGAGTGAATTCTGGATATATTTTGAATACTGAATTAGGATGATATGTTGACTGGATCTGAGGGTGAGAAAAAGGGAGGTGTCAACTCGAAGAATGGAACTGCCATTTACTGAGATGAGGAGGACTAGGGAGTGAATCAGGTTTGGGGCCACTTCAAACCCACCACCCCTATGGGCCTTGCCATGGAGCCTAAGTCCTACAATCAGGAATTTCTTTGTGTTAAGGGCCTGAAGGTCCCTGCTAGCTGGGAATATATTAAGCTATTACCTACCATTTACACTGCAGTTGAGATTCATTTACCAGATCAGCCACAGGAGGGCAGGGCCCTAAGATATACATCAGAAACAAACGTCCTCATTGTGTCTTGGGCCCTGGTCCCAGCTGTGTTCTCTGTCGGAGCCAGCAATCTCATTCCCTACAGAGGGCAGATTGCAAAAAGCCACTTGTTTCACCTGAGTCCAGCAGAAACTCAAGCAGTGAGTGTCAGTCCTGGCTGCATGGTAGAAATGCTGGAGGAGCTTTTAAAAATCCTAAAGCCCAGGCCCCACCGCAGACCAATTACATCAGAATTCCTAGGGGTGAGGTCTGAGCATCATTATTTTTTTCAAGCTTCTGATGATTTCCAAATGCAGCCAAGATTAAGAACCATTGAGCTAAAGGAACCTTAGACTTCTCATCCTGAGCCAAAGGGGCAATTTGTTGGCAGCAGACAATATAGCACAATGAAATCCAGGGCTGGGGATCATTGCAGAAAGTGATTACAGTATTGATTATACATGGAGTTGATAAATGCCTTTGTGTGTTGCACAGCCTGGTGCTACAATCCTGAGCGGAGGCTGCTGGCTGAGGCAGGAGCAAGAGAAAGGGGCGAGATAGATAGAAAGATCTGTAACTATCCTCAGGCAGCTCTGTTTGATTCCATCTCCACAGTCATCCAAAGTTCCACCAAGGTGCCACAAACATGAGGCAAATGGAATCTTCTTTATACCTGACAGTCACCTTCTTTCTTCTCTGCCATCATCTGCCCTCAGATGCCTGCACGGCACACTGTGTGGAACAAGGCATCTCTAGAGGCCTGAATGGGCCATGCAGTCCAACCTTCATTTTCACATGTGAAACAGAGGCCTATGAAGAGGATACATTTTACCCAAAGTATTGAAATAATTGAGTAGCAGAGCTGAAACCAGAACCCAGGTTTCCTGAGCCTTGGATTAGTGGTTGTTCCCCCACAGCAGGCTAAAGTTGGAATTCCATTCCTGATCGTTCATCCACTGGTTCTCATTGTACCTTGGTGTTATTTAATGAACTCAAACAAATGAAGAACCCCAACTGGTATCTTTTTATGTATCCACCATGGTGGAGAGGATGGCATACTTGCTATCCCTACCAAAGATGCAAGATTAGATCCTGTCCTAGAAAGTTTCTGCTTATACCACTGAAAACCAAAGATTCAGATAATTATAGGAGCAGACCACAAAGGAGGAAATGAAATTGTCAATATTTTCAGGGATTATAGTAATTTCCAGGTGTCTGTTTCAGAGTTATTTTCAGCTTGTTAATGCTTTATTCCTCATTGACCCTTGTCCTGTTGGTCTTTAAGATGCCAACCTATTCTCGGTCTTCAGCCTTGATGCTGATGACTCACTCATTGCCAGCTGGTCTCTGGTAGATGTCATGGAGTCATGTCTAGCCTTATGCTCAGACACAGGTGAGGCCTGCTGTGCAGTGTGCTATGAGGGATCTCTCAGAGGCCTCTCTGTCCCACAGCATCTTCAAAGCTTAGCTGTGGGGCTTGAAGTTCGTAATATTAGGGGCACTCCTTTGAATTACAATGTTGAGAATTGGGAAGGTCCTGGTCAAAATGTGAATATGGTAGCAGGAAGGCATGATACACTTCACGGGCCAGCAAATTGCAGGCCTGCATGGGCCAAATCTTTCTCACCACCTGTTTTTGTAAATAAAGCTTTACTGGAGCACAGTTATGATCCT